CTGTGAGGGTGGGCGCAGACGGTCCTAGCGAGTGGTTTCCCGAGGGAAGCTCGTTTGCTCCGAGGAGCGATACAGAACAGTCGTTAAACCCTGCCTGTGCGCGGTCACAGGGCACTGTTTCTGTCTCTATAATTACTCCAGAGGCCAGTCTCGAGAGACTGGTACCCTTAGTGGAATTTCTGGCAGAATGGGAAAGTCTTCCAAATATATCTCGATGGGTCCTGCAGACTATCGAACGCGGGTACGCGATCCAGTTCAGGTCACGTCCGCCTCGTTTTCGGGGATTTTGCCTACTGTGGTATCCCCCGAGCAGGCTCTGGTCATGGAACAAGAGGTGAAAGCTCTGTTACTGAAGGGGGCGATAGAACGAGTTCTTCCCCCCGACAGAGAGTTGGGTATTACAGCCGTTACTTCATTGTTCCAAAGAAGCTAACGATATACGCCTCCCTCACGGGCTGGGGGCGATCATGAGTGGTCGCTCAGCCCGGGGTCTGTGGACTTTCTCCCAGACCTGAGGGGTCACCATGTTCTTGTCCGGTCAGACAGCACATCGGGGGTCTTTTTATAGACCATCAAGGGGGTCTGCGCTCATGTCCATTATTCAGGCTAGCGCCAGATCCTTCTGTGGGCCCAGGGGAAGCTTCTTCTTTGGCGATTATATATCCAGGATATTTAAATCGGGGAGCAGACATCCTGTCGAGGCAGGGGCCGAGGCCCGGGAGTGGAGACTCCACCCCGAGGTGGTGGAGCTCCTATGGAGTCATTTCGGTCATACAGGGTAGGCCTATTTGAATCCAGGGACTGAGACACTGCATGCTGTGGTTTCTCTGTATCCACCAGCCCCTCTGGGGTTGGATGCGATGGTACAGGAGTGGCCGAGGTCACCCCTGTACGCATTTCCCCGATTGCTCTGCTCCCAGGAGTTCTGGAGAGGGTTCACCGAGTCGGGGTCTTTCTACTGTTAGTAGCCCCGCGTTGGCCGGCCCGAGTATGGATGCGGGTCGATACTTCACCCCCGCCCAGATCTATGGAGGTTGTGGCTTGGCCTCTGAGGGGGCCCAGCTCATAGAATGGGGTCTCTCGACTGAGGTCGTGGAGACCATCCTCCAATCCAGAGCTCCGTCCACGAGGAGATTATATGCCTTGAGGTGGCAATGTTTCACCTCTTGGTGGGGAGAACACCAGTTGGACCCAGTTAACTGCCCGGTGTGGCGGTGCTGGAATTCCTTTGGAGCATTTCTCCACAGGGTTATCCCACTCCACACTAAAGGTGTATGTGGTGGCCTATCTGCTTACCACGTCCCTTTGAGTGGAGCTTTTTCCGGAGATACCCATTGGTAATTCTTTTTCTTCGTGGTATTGTGAGGTCAGACCAAGAGAAACTAATCTGCTCTGCCCTCTGAGGGCTCTAGATGCTTATGTCCACAGAGCTGCCCTGTGGAGAAAGCCTGAACAGTTATCTGTTTGTTTTGGACCTCCGAAGAAAGGTTGTCCCGCATCTGAGCAGAGGTTGAGTAAGTGAGTGGTCGAGGCCATCTCATTTGCATATGAGTCCGCCGGTCAGCCTTCTCCTTTGGCTGTCTGGGCTCACTCAACCAGGGGTATGGTAGCTCCGCTCCAGGGGCGCAGGTGCTTTCGTCTAAATATGTGCCTGATTTCATACAACGGACACCTGCTCGCATGGCGGCGTTGGTATTAGCGTTCCCACGGCGTTTACACGCAGCTCGAAGTTCCCTGAATGGGAACGTCTCTGGTTACGTATGTAACCCTAGTTCCCTGAAGGGAACGAGACGCTGCGTGTCTATGCCATACTCCCAGCATGCCCGTGAGCGCTTGCTTCAGTCCTATCAGAAGCTGTTGCGCTTGTGTTTCGGGGATGCTTTATAGTTTCCTGGTCGATACGTCACCCCGCCTATGACGTTCCGTCTCGCCATTGGACAGATTTCATACGTGCTTCATGACTCGTCACGCAGAGGCGTTCCCACGGCGTTTACACGCAGCTCGAAGTTCCCTTCAGGGAACTAGGGTTACATACGTAACCAGAGACGTTTTTTAATGTGTGGGTGGGTGTGAGTGTGGGTATATGTATGTGTGTGTATGCGTAAACAAAGTAACCATTTATTATCTATTACCTTCGTCATTACCATCATACTGCCAATATTGTATTAGTCAATTTGGTAACACTTTATTTGAAGGGGTGTGTATAAGACTGACATGACACTGTCATAAACATGACATAACACCTGTCATGAACATGAAGGAGTCTTTATGAATGTTTATGACTGTTGTTGTCATTAAGTGTCATTTGGTAAATTATGACACTTTTAATGCAAAGTTGACATTGTTTAAAATGTCTTTGTTATGACAACTTGACATTTAACCAAGACAAAAATGTCTTAATTATGACAGCGTGACATTAACAAAGACAAAAAAAAAATGTCTTGATTATGACAACTTGACATTAACAAAGAAATCATAACCTGTCAACCTGACATCTTTATAACTAGTCTGATGTGTTCCACTTTACTTGAGGTAAGGGGAAATATTAATGACACTGTTGTTAAAGCATTTGACAGTGTAATAACCCTTAATGACATATTTATAACTAGTCCAACGTGTTCCACTTTACTTGAGGACAGGTAAAATATTCATGACACAATTATAATGGTGTCTTGATGGTCAAAACCAACCACATATGACAGGGTAATGTATTGTTAACGCAAAGCTAAATAACGTCTTTAAGTTTGATAATTAGACCTGTTATAACATATATGTGACAGGTTATGATTTCTTGGTTAATGTCAAGTTGTCGTAACAAAGACATTTTAAACAATGTCAACTTTGCATTAAAAGTGTCATAATTTACCGAATGACAACAACATTCATAAACATTCATAAAGACTCCTTCATGTTCATGACAGGTGTTATGTCATGTTTATGACAGTGTCATGTCAGTCTTATGCACACCCCTTCAAATAAAGTGTTACCGTCAATTTTTTATTTTAAATTTCATTTCCATCTTTCCTCCTATGTAACAATTGCCATTGTCAACACTGCCTAAAATAAAAGATGGTATAATAAGATAATATAATAATATAATTTTTAAGACTAATATAATATTTTCTTGTTGAAAATACTCCAATACTCTTACTTTTTTTTATTTACAACTGCACATGTTTTATTACAATTAAATCATATTTAATGAATCTGGATTCCAATGAATGTAACAGTGAAAGAAGAACTGATAATATAAGATGTTAAATGTGCGTTACCGGTAATATTTGTGTAGTTAGTTGTGTGGCTAGATATGAGTATAGTGAGTATAGGTTGTATATGCTCAGAATGTGTGTTTCAGATGCATTTTATGCAAGTGGACAACTATTTAACTATTTTAAACGCACTACTGGTGAGAATTTTTCTTTTAATAATACTTTTATTCAATAAGGATCCATTCAACTGATAAAAAGTGACATAAACGTTCAATCCAACTTTATATTATTTATCTTTGTACAAATCTACTTTGTTTGGAAGTTGAAAAACATGTTGGTACAATGTATATGTTGTATTCATGTTGTATTGCAAAACCATTGCTGCGATGGGGGTGGGATACGGGTATGATTAGGGGTATGTTAGGGTTGGGTTAAGTTTTAAGGGAAGGGTCAACAGTAAAAACAGCAATGAATTACTGATGTAGTAACAAGCAGATATTTTACATTTTTACATTTTTAAATGTTAGTACATACTTTATAGTTACAGACACTTAATTTAAATTGGATCCAAACTTTCTATTAATCAAAGAATGCTGAAAAATAAATGTATAATGCTGCACAACTGCAAACCATATTAAAATGATTACCAATGGATCATGTGACACTGAAGTATTCCCTTTGATAAAACAAAGCAGATTTCGTTCAAAAACATAAATAATCGTACCAACCTCAAACTTCAGAATGGCGGTGTAATGACCACCACTGGGAATTGTGCTTTGGTTACGTCTTCTTTAATGTGCGCACATCTGTGGATGTGAAGGTCATATTGCCATAGATTAAAAAAAAAAGAACGTTTTAAAGAACTAGAGTGTTCCCAGCTGTAAAACTAAAGTCAGGAAACCTCACCGCCCTGGGTGAGACTTCAGGGTGTGTTTAAGACTGTTTTACACACCACTTTATTATCATCATGGCGCTCTGCTCGGGTCTTAAATCCTAAAAGACTTTACTCTTGCAAAGTAGGAGAGATTCACCATAATTGAAGCACTACAGAGTAACTCCGATCAATTCGGTAACAAAGACTGTCTCATTTAGCCATATTGTACATTTTTTTCTTAGCTAAATTGATTGTGAGGCAAAAAAGCACACACTTCTCATCAAAACGAGTAAGGTACATGATCCCCAAAACAAGCTTATGCTTTAAACCTTATAAAAGTACAGCGTTAGACATTGATCACGCATTTGATTTCCATCTATAACTTAACAGAACCAGTCAGATTTGCACATTTGGAAATCATAGCGTTCTCTTTTGAAGATTGAAGCCCTCTACTTTTGGTTTTTGGGTACGGGGGTTTCAGGCCTTTCTCGGGATAACCGCAGCCCACCCCGTAAGTGTGACCATCTCCTTCATAATGTATCAGTGGCTAGAGTGAGCCTTGCCTACACACTCATACACGTATACACACGCGCTTCTGCCGCTCTGCCTTGTAATCATGGGGCTCTTCATAGGGTTGGGTCACATGATTCACCCACCAAACCACAAGCACTTCATCTCATATTCAGAGAAGACCGCAGGCGCAGCATTCGCTCTGATTGGCCACAGCTACTGTTTTCCTGAGAGCAAGTTTGGGGGCTGAGCAGAAGGTGGACTCTTAAGAGGCTGTCTTTATCAGACTCGGCACATTAGGCTTTGCGTCGTCTCAATGGAGATTGACGCTTAACTCTGGATGGCAACCTTTATCTGCGTTTGTAGATGGGGCTTTTTTTGACATGTGATAAGGACGATCTGTTGGAACTACATGGACTTTACATTTCATCAGCCAGACACCATAGAATCGATTCAGACTTTTTCAAGCCAAACTTTTATTCAGCATTTAATGACTCATCTCCAGACTCAAAGAGCAAAGGTTGTCTGATTGTTTAAACGGTCTTATCTAACTGTCGGCGAGTCAGTGTCTGAATTTCTGACTCATTGTCTGACCCGCAGGAGATTCCCCTGTCAGAGATCTTGCAGGTGGAGGTTGCGCGTGACTTCAGTAGTTTAGCCCTGGGAGGCAATCCACACTGCTTTGAGGTCATCACAGCCACCATGGTGTACTATGTTGGGGAGAACACCGGCGGCCCCCACCTCCACATACACAACCCCGCGCTGGCGGCCGGAGGCGTGGGGCTGGAGGTGGCCCAGGGCTGGGAGAGGGCCATCCGCCAGGCCCTGATGCCCGTTCCAGTAACACCACAGCCCAGCGTGGGCGCCGCTGCGGGACAGAATAAAGATCACAGTGAGTACTAAAGTCTTCAAAAGTCTTTAAAAAACGTGTCAAGTGTTCATACTGTTCTTTTCCATAAGTTAAAGTGGTTGAGAAATGGTATGAAAATTTGGATTCACTCCGAAATTGCCAGTAAATTACACAAGTTATTGGGAAACGGCAAGTAACACGTTGGATTTAATGTGGAATTTGGGAGTAAAAAAGGCTGAAATAGTGTTTTCTTAGAAAACGTACTCCAATGATCTTAGTTTTTCTTTACAATTTAAAAAAAAAATTTTTTTAAAGTGTATGTTCCAAAGTCGTTTGATAGCTTTCTGGGAGTAAAAGACCAAAATTGTATATTTCTGGCACTTTATGACACTCTTTTTTAGAAATACAGTAACTTTAACATGTAATGAGGCGGTTATACAAATATGTTAAAGGTCCCGTTCTTTGCGATTCCATTTTTCAAACTTTAGTGAGTGTGTAATGTTGCTGTTAGAGCATAAACATTACCTGTAAAATTATAAAGCTCAATGCCTAGCGAGATATTTTATTTACCAGAAGTTCCCTTTCAAAGCCTACAGTGAACGTCCGGTTTGGACTACAGCCCTCTTCCTTTTTTAATGACGTAATTAGAAAGGTTTTTTGACTAATCTCCGTCCAAAGGAATGCACAAAAAAGGGGGCGTTGTCTTGTTGAGCTCCCACGGAGAAGAGGAAGAGTATCGTTTGTCGATAATTCGTTGACAAACCTATACATTGGCTTGAGGCAGTAATAATTTAATGTGCAGTCATATAATCAGCTTTTAATAAATTGTAATGCTTGGCAACGATTTCTTTTACACAACATGGCAGCTTGTAAGGCTATATTCATGGTAAAAAAATGAAGTATATTAAATAAAGTTGTTTGGATGAAAACAATTTCAAACGAACTATACACAACAAAAAATGATTTAATTTAAAGGTGTGACAGTAGTTTTTGTATTTATTTGCAGCAGATGTCATCAAACTCCGTTGGCATTTTGTCACAGTTACCACTTGTACACCTATAAAACATATATTACTAATCAAACTCGTACACACGTGTAACTAAGGTAGGAATAAACAATGGACTTGTCTTAAAAATTCAACAACACCATCCTTAATTCGACAGACGGGAAAATATATACCACAATATATAAAAATATATACTGTACCACAAGCGGCGTACAGATCACCGAGGGCGGGGTCTATGCCACAACCACACTGTCAATCAAACCCCTTGCTCAATTCTACGTCACAAAGTGCTGAATCTTAGAACAGCTCGTTCTGACACAGTGCATATGATTTATTGAGATTGTAAAAAAACACTTGGTGGATTTTTATCATTCTAGGGTGGTTTTGCTCACACACTGCCAACACACATTTATGTTCAAACACCATGTAAAAGTGAATTTTCCATAATAGGTGCCCTTTAAATAATATTCACAGCTTTGTAATGGCATTGAATAGTGCCCGAGTTTTGAAGCTCCACACGGCTCCAGGGAGTTAAAGGATTAGTTCACTTTTGAAAAAACTTTTGCTGATAATTTACTCACCCCCATGTCATCCAAGATGTCCATGTCTTTCTTTCCTCAGTCGAAAAGAAATTAAGGTTTTTGATGAAAACATTCCAGGATTTTTCTCCATATAATGGACTTCAATGGGAACCAGGTCCAACCGAGGTCCAAACAACAGTTATAACAGTTTCAGATGCAGCTTCAAATGTCTTTAAACGACACCAGACGATGAATAAGGGTCTTATCATGCGAAACGATCGGTTATTTCAAAACTTATTCCAAAAATGTAACTTTTCTAAGGACAAATGCTAGCCTTGCTGTATTCTGTGAGGCGCGTTTGCAACGTCACGTAATACGTAATTACGTTCAAAAGGTCACGGGCGACGTAGCCGGAAGTACAGAATCAAAATCGTCCGACATCGTTGTTTTACCTTTTAATTCCTTTTTTGTAAACGGCGTTTGAGTTAGTTTTCACGTTCAACCTATGCGTTCAACTTGTAAACACTCTGACTCTGTACTTCTGGCTACGTCGCCCGTGACCTTTTGAACGTAATTACGTATTACGTGACGTTACAAACGCGCCTCACAGAATGGAGAAAGGCTAGCATTTGTCCTTAGAAAAGTTATATTTTTGGAATAAGTTTTGAAACAACCGATCGTTTCGCATGATAAGACCCTTATTCATCGTCTGGTGTCGTTTAAAGACATTTGAAGCTGCATCTGAAACTGTTATTAACTGTCGTTTGGACCTTGAACCATCCGGTTCCCATTGAAGTCCATTATATGGAGAAAAATCCTGGAATGTTTTCATCAAAAACCTTCATTTCTTTTCGACTGAGGAAAGAAAGACATGGACATCTTGGATGACATGGGGGTGAGTAAATTATCAGCAAAAGTTTTTTCAAAAGTGAACTAATCCTTTAATAAAGGCCTTCTGAAGTGAAGTGATTGGTTTTAATAAAAAATATTCATATTTCAAACCTTATAAACTATAATCACTGGCTTCCACCAACGGCTGCACACGCGGCCGAGAGAGTCGAGGACTCTACGTTGGACGTAGCTTCTCTTCTCTTATACTGAAATCCCTAATTTTTCTTTGAAATGTATTCCTTTTTCTTTCTTCTAGTTTTAGACTTCTAATTTGTGACCGGTGTTTTTTTTACTCTGTTCTCTGCACTTCTGCGTTCTTCAATTCTCAACTAAGCTAATGCTAACGCCTACTTCATGCGTCCTACGCATATGTGGGGTCAGAGGTCGCCCTTCTACCAGAACCAGCCGTGCTGGAAGCCAGTGATTATAGATTACAAGGTTTTAAATGGGGATATTTTTCTTTCAAAAATGTAATCACAAAGCTGGGAAGACCCAGGATATTTTTTGATATATAACGATTGTTTTCGGCTGAAAGAAAGAAGTTATATACACCTATGATGGTTGTTAATAACTGTTAATAAAAAGGTTCGGTTTAACATTTTGGTGCAGACATTATTCTCAGTTGTTTGTCAAAGCACTATTACACCCAAAAAAATAAAAATGTCAAATCCAAAAATCAGTAGATATCTCTTGTGTCCATTCATGTATTATTTAATGTACAGTTCAAGTTGTTCTGTTTTTTAAAGACATTCATACTTATGTTCAGCAAAGATGCATTAAACTGATCAAAAGTGACTGTAAAGTGATTATTTCAAATTAAGTCTGTTCTTTTAAATGTTGAAAAATCCTGAAAAAAAAGCAGGTTTGATATTACATTAATATTAATGAGAAATGTTTCTTTAGCACTCAATCAGCATATTCGAATGATTTCTGAAGGATCATGTGACAGGAATAAACTATATTTTAAAATATTGTAAAATAGAAAACAGTTCTTTTAAATTGTAAGTAGATGTCACTTACTGTATTTTTGATTTTAACTCGCATGTGATGAAGGCCTATGTAGAGTAAAGTGCTTTGGGTGTGTACAGTACAGGAGTACATATGAAAGCACTATATAAATGCATTCATTCATTCATACGTTTGGAAATCTTACATGTTCAAACTAGCAGTCATTGATGATGCAATGGTACAAACTGAGACGAGTGTGGCTTCCACACCACAGATTAGGATTCAAGAAGATTCAAGAATGCAATTTTTATTTAGTTTTGTATGAAATGGATAAAAAAAAAAAGAGTGGGCAGATTTGCAGCTCCATTCTGGAGAGTGAACGGCTGAGCTTTAGTCTTTAATATCCTGATGCACCTCCATTTAATTGTGTTGAGAGACAGAAGATTAAAGAGGTTTGACAGGTCTGGATTAATGAAAGCTGTTTAGTTATGAAACAAACACACTTTTAATTCAGTATTCAGAGGAGATTTCATCCCAGGGATGAATGACATTCTTAATTAAGAGCTTGTCTGAAGACAAGCGAAGCCAGGGCAAATCCAACCCAAAAAATAAACAGAAAAAAAAAAAAACACCTTTACAATTACTATGTCTAGCTCACCCTTCTTGTCATTCTAGTAATGTGCAATTTATTATATATTTCAGATAGGATTTGCTTAACCCCTTAACTGTCACCGTCCCGGTACCGGGACGCTTTACTTTACGCTAACTTTACTTCACTATATTTCTATTAAATCCTAATCTAATTATGTCAAATTATATATTGTTGGAAAGGTCTAAGACTTCTAAATAGATATTCTACCCCTGTTTTGTGTTAAAAATTATGTAGGAAGAGTAATTGATGAATTTATGACAAGAGTGCACCTCAAAAAATCTGCATCATAACAGGAGTTTTGACCTTTGTCACAAAAAGTTGATGAACCCACTTTTAATCATTGAAACTTCTGTTTTTATGCTAAAAGTTCATAATAAACATATAATCTAGCATTTTTCAATAAAAAATAAGAAATTATAGTACAATATTATCCTTTAAAAATGATAATATTTATATTTATTATCCTCTAAAATATAATATTATTTTTTATCGCTTTTTTTTTATTATATCACATATTTTAGTAGTTATCATAAATTAGGTATCATTTGAAAGCTTATAAACTCAGAATTCATCCTGTGAAAACTGTTTTATAATTGAAAGTTGCGTTACCATAGAAACGGTACTTATTTTATCAGGCTCCTCCCCTTTTGGGCATCATTATATTTCATAATTTATGATCAAAACCTTTTCTAATCTTGACAAAACTGATATTGTCAGAAAGGTCAGAGTCTCAAGGTTCCAAATTTTGTGACAGAATTGATATTTGGACAGAAATGTATTAATTTGTTACGGCAGAATGTATACAACTAAATTCAATGGAATTCAATGGCACCCGGTGGCTAGTTTTGGTACTACGCCTAAACAAAATCTCATGGGAACTTCAATTTTTGTGATATCATCTTCAAATTTGGAACATAACTTGATAAGATGTATGGCTTTGATTTTATAGAAATTTTAGAGTAAAAAATATTTTATAAAATATATATTTTATATAAAATAAAAATATATAGTACAGTATATTTAATTTAATGTAAATTTAAACTTCCATAACTTTTTCATACTTTCATTTTTTGAAGAATTTTCACTTTAACAATATTCTGCTGAGTGTTTTCTTTAAAACAAGACCAAACTTGGGTATATATTCCAAAGCATTCTTAAATTACAACCATTTAAGTTTGAATAGTGCATTCTCAAAAAGGGGGGTGACAGCTAAGGGGTTAAATTATTTTCACATTTTGCACTGGCAAACAGAAAAAGGATGGTGGAATATATCAGCCTGGCATGATGTGGTAAAAGAACGGTTCTAGTCCAGCAAAGAGTTGGTGCCGCTTTGGAACCGGTTCTTTGGCTGTCGAAACACAAAGAAGTGGTTCGCGCGCAGGCACTGGCTCTCAAAATGCTTTGGTGGAAAAGGGGTATCTGAGGGGCGGGATAAACAGTTGTCTTTCAAATTCCCTCTGCACGCAATAGGATAGCGCTACAACCAACCAGAGCTTTTTCAAAAGATTCGAAAGACCGCCGTTCCCAAATAGCAGGGAAAAGTCGCAACTCCGTCGTAAAGCCCGCCAGCCGACTCTATACACGATGTGATTGGCCCGACTAGAGTTTGGTTCTTCCAGCTCGAAAGCCAACGGAGAGCTGCTAGACCACCCTGGGTGCAAAATCAAATTTGTTGCCACTAGGGTGCGTCTAGATTTGTAGGCTAGGAAAAATTGTCTACGGTAATCAAATTGATACAAATAGATACGGCAATCAAATTGATATTTGATACTTAAACTAAATTGATGCACAATTTGTGTTGGATGTGATTCTAATTAAAATTATATATTTTTCTGCCTCACATTTTCCCACATACTGTACAATTTTGAACTCATTTCACCTATTATGAAATGCCAAGGCTAATCCAAATATCGGTATTTTGTTTTGTGTGTGTGTTGCAGAGGAACTGTCCATCAGCATTTCTGTATCTAACAGTCAAATCCAGGAAAATGTGGTGAGTTTCGACTGTGTTTACTGACAATATTTCACAATTGCAACCCTTATTATACACACTTCTGCTTGTTCGGTCATGGCCATGGTCAAGTCACACCGCAAGAAAATTATGAAAATCTGAGAGAGAAAATAGACTGAGAAATTGTTATTGGGTTGAATGTACTGGTATATTGGTAACACTTTACAATAAGGTTCATTAGTTAACATTAGTTAATGTATTTACTAACATGCACTAACCATGAGCAATACATTTGTTACTGCATTTGTTCATCTTTGTTAATGTTAGCTCATGAAAATACAGCTGTTCATTGTTTGTTCATGTTAGTTCACGGTGCATTAACTAATGTTAACAAGATTTTAATCAAGTATTAGTAAATGTTGAAAATAACATTAACAAAGATTAGCAAATGCTGTATATGTGCTATTCATTATTAGTTCATGTTAACTAATGTAGTTAACTAATGTTAACTAACGAACCTTATTGTAAAGTGTTACCTGTATATTATAATTGTGAATAAATTATAGTTGATTTTAATATTTGCCTTCAACTTGGTTTGCCTTTAGGACATCAGCTCAATCTATCAGATATTTGCTGATGAAGTGTTGGGCTCGGGACAGTTTGGCATCGTTTATGGAGGTACAGAGGAAAAATTAAGTATTCTTTGTATATATATATATATATATATATATATATTAGGGCTGTGTGAAGATTAATTTCGATTTTTCACATCGAAAATAAAAGTTTGTGTTTACATAATATACTGTATGTGTGTGTGCTGTATGTATTTAAGAAAATGTGTTCATATATATCAATATATATTCATATATAAAATATATATATAGATAGGTATTTATATGTATATATATACAGTATTTATGTGCAAATAATTATTAAATATAAACATGCATGCATATGTATTTATATATACAAAATTATACACAGCACACACACATATGTATTATGTAAACGCAAAATTTTATTTCCGATGCGATTAATCGCAATTAATCTTTGCACAGCCCTAATATTTATATATAATACACAACACCAAGGTTATTATAGTATTTAACATGTCTCCTTTACGATTAGTTTGACTTGATGAAACGAAAATAACTAAAAAATAATAAAAAGTATATAGACATTTTTAAAAAAACAACTACATTTTATTGTGACAAAAATTAAAAGGAAAACTGAAATAGGAAAATAACTATTTGAAGAATAAACTATTTGAAAATATGAATAAAAACTATAATAGTATCTGAATGATACTAAAATAATAGCACACCACACAATGGATTACTTTATTCTGATGGGTCAGTTTTCAAATATTTAAGAATAATGACTGTTAAACTATATTACTGGCCATATATATCTGCTAATTTCCCATATCTTACAGTCTATTATTCTTCTGACATTCTAAAATCATTTCTCTCATTATATAAATCTTACAATATAAATTCTTATCAAATATAAAAAGATTAGTATGAAATTATTTTATAAGTAGCTGGATTATTATCCGATCTTACAAGTTTGCTCTTTTTGGGTTTCTTTTGTACGGTTTATATACAGTGTCCAACTTACATATACTATTTATAATATACACTCTGTACACACCAAATACATTTCATCTCTATTGTGAATGATCTGTTGTTTTATAACTTAAAACCTAAAAGCCTTTTTTTGTTAAATCTTTTCCTTAAAATGTGTTTGTGCTGCGTTTCCATTCTGTTTCAAGGGAAACATAGAAAAACAGGCAGAGATGTGGCCATCAAAGTAATAGACAAAATGAGATTTCCCACCAAACAGGAGAGTCAGCTGAGGAACGAGGTTGCCATCTTACAGGTAATCAGTCTTTTTAATGTGATTATGGCAAGATAAGAGTTGTGGATGGGGACACCATGTCAAAAAAATCATTTTTAGTGTGTTTTAGCTTACCTCAAGGGCATCCAAGATGTAGGTGTCTTTGTTTCTGCACTAGTTTTAATTTTGATATTTGTAGGTCAAACTGTTCTTGTCTGTCAGTCATATAATGCAGGTCTATGGTCACCACCTCAAAGAGCATGCACAGAGAAGTCCAAATTAAACATGATTTAATGACTCGTAAATGTACACATTGATGACCTAAGACACGAAACGAGCGGTTTGTGTGAGAAAACGAACAGTATTTATATCGTTTTTACCTCTTGTAACCACAGCCACGTCCAAGTGATCTGAGGGCGCTGGCTTTTCTCTCGTGCGTGTACGTCACTCATTATTTACACAGAGATTTCGGAAGCGTTACCTTTCACTGTGAAGATCTAAACATATTTAGATATACAGGAAATCGCAATGGAAGACAATATATCAACAGACATTGTTGATTTTTTTCGCAACCGCGCGAGAGATCATTTCCAGCGCTTGCGCAGACCGAAGCGCCCGCACCCTCAGATCACTTGGACGTGGCTGTGGTTACAAGAGTTAAAAACGATATAAATACTGTTCATTTCTCACACAAACCGCTCGTTTCGTGTCTTAGGCCATCAATGTGTACTTACATTTACAAGTCATTAGATCATGTTTAATTTGTTGAGGTGGTGACCATAGACCTCCATTAAATGACTGATAGACACAAACGTTTTGACGTAAAAAATATCAAAATTGAAACTACTGCGGAAACAAAGACACCTATTTATATTTGACATGGTTGTTCTTTTTCTTGTAGAATTTGCACCATCCTGGCATTGTAAACCTAGAGCGGATGTTTGAGACTCCAGAACGAGTGTTTGTTGTCATGGAGAAACTCCATGGAGACATGCTGGAGATGATCCTGTCCAGCGAGAAGAGCAAACTTCCAGAGCGCAACACCAAGTTTCTGGTCACACAGGTTTGCTAAGACTTTCCTTCTCCTCCTATCTCTTCAAGTCAAATTTCTGAATTCTGAAGTGCATTTTGTTTAGATGAGGTAGTAATCTGGATGTCATCTAGAGCTAAATTAGAGCGGCGAGTCTGTGGGTTGATTAAAGCAGTGGGGCCGCGGGAGCTCTAAAGCCCAGAGCTGCTGCCATGTGGTTAAGATGCGGTGTCAGGAGCCAGGGCTTCTGTTAAAGTAAATGGAAACATTGAATGATTGGGATTTCACCCTGATAGTCAGTGACTTTGCTTTGGTTTAAACATTGAAGGAATGAACATTGTTGTTGCTTTTGTTGTTAATTTTATACCCTGTACAACCCAACTGTCATCCTATCAAATAAAGCATACACTACTTTCAAAGTTTGAGTCAGTAAGATCTGTCAGATCTGTTTTTGAAAAATACCTATTCTTGCTCATTTACTTGCTTAAAAATACAGTAGAAACAGGAATATTGTAAAATATTATAACAATTTAAAATAACTTCAGAAATCACTCTAATTTGATGATTTGCTGCTCAAGAAACATTTTTTATTATGACTGAAAACAGTTTCATATGTACGGAGGCGTATTGCATTCACTTGAAGAAAAAAAATCTACTCTGTTTTTCTGAATTAACGAGTTAATTTTTCATGAGAAAAAAAATATTTTGCTCTGTTTTTCTGAATTAACGAGTTAATTTTTCATGGATATTTTTTGCTCTGTTTTTCTGAATTAACTAGTTAATTTTTTAATGGATTTTTTTTACTCTGTTTTTCTGAATTAACGAGTTAATTTTTCATGAGAAAAAATATTTTGCTCTGTTTTTCTGAATTAATGAGTTAATTTTTCATGGAATTTGTTTTTTTTACTCTGTTTTTCTGAATTAATGCGTTAATTCAGAAAAACAGAGCAAAAACTTTTTTTCTCATGAAAAATTAACTCATTAATTCAGAAAAACAGAGCAAAAAAATTTTTCTCATGAAAAATTAACTCATTAATTCAGAAAAACAGAGCAAAAACTTTTTTTTTCTCATGAAAAATTAACTCATTAATTCAGAAAAAAATTTTCTCATGAAAAATTAACTTGTTAATTCAGAAAAACAGAGCAAAAAAACAATTTTCTCATGAAAAATTAACTCATTAATTCAGAAAAACAGAGCAAAAACTTTTTTCTCACGAAAAATTAACTCATTAATTCAGAAAAACAGAGCAAAATTTTTTTTCTCATAAAAAATTAACTCATTAATTCAGAAAAACAGAGCAAAAATTTTTTTTTTCATGAAAAATTAATTCATTAATTCAGAAAAAAAATTCTCATGAAAAATTAACGCGTTAATTCAGAAAAACAGAGCAAAAAAACTATTTTCTCATGAAAAATTAACTCATTAATTCAGAAAAACAGAGCAAAAACTTTTTTTTCTCACGAAAAATTAACTCATTAATTCAGAAAAACAGAGCAAAAAAAATTTTCTCATGAAAAATTAACTCATTAATTCCGAAAAACAGAGCAAAAACTTTTTTTTCTCATGAAAAATTAACTCATTAATTCAGAAAAAAATTTTCTCATGAAAAATTAACTCGTTAATTCAGAAAAACAGAGCAAATTTTTTTTCTCATGAAAAATTAACTCGTTAATTCAGAAAAACAGAGTAGATTTTTTTTTCTTCAAGTGAATGCAATACGCCTCCGTACATATGTATGTGAAAACAGGGAAACATTTTTTCAGGATTATTTTTTAAGAATAGAAAAAAAAAAAATATTTTTATTTGTAAAAATGCAACTTGTAGCCACTTGCTTAATAAAGGTATTCATTTCTTTAAATTGAAAAAAAATGCAGTTGACCTCAAACTTTTAAATGTAATGTAATATGAGATGGAATAAGGTCAATGATGGATAATGGACAGTACCTTTTGTTTTAGGTACTTAAGCTTAAGCAAACATTTCTTTTTTTTGTTTTTCCTCTTGCCTGTTTTACCTTTTACTGTGTTGAACTAAACTTTTTCTAGCACAGCATGGTTCCTAAGTAAGAATTTGCCATGTTGTCTGCAAATCAAAGGTTTTTCTTTACATCTAAAGTAGATATTACATTGCTGTCCAGTTAAAGCATTAGAAACACCATCCAGTTGATAAACGCGTGGAATTAAGTGTCTGCTTTACTGTCATAGATCCTTGTGGCTTTGCGACATCTCCATTTCAAGAACATTGTTCACTGTGACCTGAAGCCAGAAAATGTGCTGTTGGCGTCTGCGGAGCCGTTTCCTCAGGTAAACCACAGTGAATAACCCATGCTATCCTTTATTAATTACTATATAATAAATTCAGGGGTTATAAAGTGAAGTCAAAATTATTTGTAAAGCACTTTTCACAATAAACATTGTTTCAATGCTGCTTTACAGAAAATCATGATGTTGATATTTATAATTATCTTCACGCCTTATAGTCACATTTAGCAGATTAGAGCTAGGCGATAATATAGTTTCATTTTGGGACACAAACAATCAAGCTGTTGAGATTTGCTATAGTATGTATCGCTCTAAGTGAGTATACTGTACCAACATACTGTATTTCTTCATATAAAGAGCTGGGTGATAATATACGTTTTGCAGCAATATAAAGAATCACTGATATTTGCTATATCGTATATATTGATTTACATGAATAATGTACAGTACATCCAGCCGGTGGTTATCTCAGAATAAACCCCGACAGGGAGATCAGGACGCTTTTGCATCACTCTGATGGGGGTTTATTCTGAGATAACAACCGGCTGGATGTACATTATTCTACTTATTACACGGCTACTTACCACATTCAGGGACGTGCACAGGAATTTTGAGGGGCAGTTGCTCTGACCTGAAAAAAGGGCACCCCCCCCCCCCTCCTCCCCCCTCACGGGCTATATGAAGGAATTTATTCAGTTGAATTTGTCCCCTTCCAAATTGCCTTATCTGGCCGTGTTTATGTCCAAACGCAATGCCACATCTTATGGTCTTATAATTATTTATAAAGATTGCAAAATGTCAGAGATGAGACAAATGAGCAAAAGAGTTCTTAATATTGTTGTTTATTGTTTTTTAAATTATTTATTTATTTGAAAAGAAATAATCTGGATTGAATGGAAAAAACTCGAAAAAATAAAAAAACGCTTAGATTTCTGGAAAAAATACAATTCTTTTTTTTTGCCAATCCTGACCTCCCCCTGGGGCCCTAAGCAAAATTCTGCTAAGGGGCCCTCTACCTGATCTGTGATGCCATGAGCCATGTAAACCATTTGCCATTGCCACTCAATACCGCCCAATACAATCCTCCCTCCTTTAAACAAAACAGTCAAAGAATAAGTACAACAATATAGAACAGAATGAGGTTCAAACAAACAATATTTACTGAATAAAGCATTTTTATAGAATGTTAAGATAACATTAACATTCACATAAGTGAATATTAACGTAAACATAAACAAGAAGAAAATAATAAAGTACAACCCTGAACTTTGGCTTTTGGATTAACTTTGGTTCTCTCTACAGCCAGGGTATTTTCGGAATCAGTAGCCTATGATTTTTATTATTATCTTTTTTTATGCATGTTAAAGCAAATCTTGATTTATGGTTATTTACTGAGGGATTTGCGTTCATATTGACCAGAATGTCCATCTAATCATCATTTTAAATTCAATATAGCCTATAAATCAATAGTCAATCAATGTCAAATTGCCAATACATTGTTTATATCTTGCATAATTAGTGCAGTTGTTTAGAGTTTTTAACTACACTGAGACTAGATAATCAGTGTCTTTATAATGTGTACTTTGATTGGAAGTGCCATCATTCACGTATTGTACAGTATTTCTGGTCTCCACATTTCTGCTTGAAAAATGCGAGTTTCATTTCGTGCACGCGCATATGAACGCAACACACGCGACGCGGTTATGTTTTCCGAGCTGCAGTAAACAAACACTGTTGTTGCACTTTGTCGTTTATCAAAAACAAAACGTAATAAATAATGGTATTTTACTTTCACTTTTGTCGGGCAAAAAGTGATGCAAGAGATGCACTGCCAGCCCAGACAAACCATCAAACTTTGCTGACACTAGAGGACAGAACACAAGTTTACCTGAATGATGTTCCCGCAATTCACTCTCATGTTTCTTCTTCTCCTCTTTTCGTGACGAGAAGGATAGTTTCGCTTCATTTTGTCATGGACTTCGTACACATTAATTAGCGCGCGACACGAGATGGAGGCGCGGCCTGAGTAATTTGCGGTGCCTTACCATACGCACCGGTCGTGTGCAGTCTATGGTCTCGTGGAAACAGTTTGACTTTCAATTTTTTTTTTTTTTTTTTTGGAAGTGAATGAGGCTTTGTGATTTTTATATTATTTTTTGTCTAGGCCTACGTGAAATTCTACATCCATTGTACGATTTTTTTTTTCCTCAGAAGGGCAACCTGAGTCGAGAAGGGCATATGGGCAGTTGCCCGGGCAACCTGAGCAACCCCCCTGTGCACGTCCCTGACCACATTAGTAAATCATTTGATGCATTATATTGATATGTTGAAATAATGATATGAGTGTAAATACTTTGTATTTTATTAGCTCTTTAAATGCAAATCTTCCGCTGAGAGAACAGTTCAAACTAGACAGACGTTCAAGGGATACGGTTCAGTCATACCACTTATTATTACACAGCATTTCGCACACATAAATATGCTGATAAGAGATATTGATTTGAGATTAAACTGTTTTTAAATGTTTGTTATCTTATAAATGAATCCATTAAAGTGTACAATCAATCATCTCAAAATGGCAGCAGCTGCGTTTGCATGAAACGAGAGCGAGTCCACGATATCAGACATCATTTAACAACTGTACACAAAATATTGAATATTAAATATTTGAATATTAAAAAAAACGTGTCTATTACACGTTTATGTGTCAAGTATTCCACTGAGCCGTGTAATAAAACTTGATTTACCTGGAATATGCTTGATAAAACGAAAAGCAAAAAAAAGTAAAACAAATAAATAATTTAATATGAAAACAATCAAATTGGAAAAATTACAAGGAAACTATTACATCTTTAATGTGTTTTCCTGCATGTCTTGTGACCGTTAAACAACATCAGAAAACCAGATACATGCAATTGTGTTTTTAAAAGAGATGGTTCACCCCAATATGGTAATTCAGTCATTAATTACTCACCCTCGATTCATTCCAACCCATCAGATTTTCATTCATAATCTGAACTCATATTTTTTTATGAAATCTGAGAGCTTTTGGTCCCTCCATTGACAGACTATGCAACTACCACTTTTAAACCTCAATTTAACGAAGCGGCATGATTGCAAAACATATTTTACCACTTTATTTGCCAAAATATCCTATTTATATTGAAGTATTGACTTCTCATTGGAGTAAATGCTTTGGGTCACGTCTGGAAATCCACATTTGAAATCTCCTGTAACAACACATCGACCGCTTTGCTCTCATGTTCCAGGTAAAACTGTGCGACTTTGGGTTTGCTCGGATCATCGGGGAGAAGTCTTTCCGGCGCTCGGTGGTGGGAACGCCAGCGTACTTGGCCCCGGAGGTGCTGCGCAGCAAAGGCTACAACCGTTCCCTAGATATGTGGTCAGTGGGAGTCATTATCTACGTCAGTTTGAGTGGCACCTTCCCCTTTAATGAGGACGAGGATATTAATGACCAAATCCAGAATGCAGCGTTCATGTACCCGTCGACACCCTGGAAAGAGATCTCTGCCGACGGTAAGTCCCCTGCAAAAACCATGGGATAAAATAGTTGCAGCCAAATATAAACTGGTCTTTAAGGCTCTAACACTGTATGAGTGTTTTACAAACGGCTGAGGTGTGTGTGTGCTACACTGCGTGGTTTCTATCTTTTAGAGGGAGATGTCTAGGTGTGTGTCAGACAAAGAGCAGACTGTCCACCCCCATGTGTGTTTAGAATAGTTCTTTCCGCCCGAGACCTGAGAGATTATACCAGCCTCTCCCAATTTCAGTCTGTCCTACTCCTCTACAACTCTATAAATGTCATTTCTCTGTCTCTACGTTTCACATCATTATGATTTAGTTTTATTGCTTGGTTTATTTTTGTGGGAGCAATTATACTCAAATTCATCATTCCATTAGTTTCATTTATTGTTGAACTGTTTGTGAAGGAACCCTCTGTACAGCTCTATATCTGGTTTACATTTATATTACTGCAGTTCTGTTCCAGATTCTAGTTATTGAATTTAATTCAACATTTTCTATTCATCAAAGAATCTTAAAAAATTTAAAAAGAAGTGTGGTTTACATAAAAATATTAAGCAGCACAACTGTTTCAGCATTGATATAATAATAAATGTTTGTTGAGCAGCATATTAACATCGATGATTTATGAAGGATCATGTGAAATTTCAGCTTTGCATTATAGGAGTAAATTGCATTTTAGATTTCAAATTTCACACAATATTTCACAATATTACTGTTTCTACTGTAGGTTATTTATTAAATAAATGAGCGGAAGAAAAAAAATTAAACACAATCTACCACATGCTCTCTGTCGTCTGATCGATCGTTTATACTTTTTTTTATCAAGTCTAATTGTATAATTGTACAAACGTCCACGGTCAGCTCATGGTCTTATTGCTGTGAAATCTTTACTGATTTTTATAAAGTAAACGTAAGTTTAACCTTTATATTGTTAGTAATGTTTCAAAATAAACATGCATTATTTCATTTTTTTTTTTTTTTTTGAAAAATCATGTTTAAATGTGAGAATCAAATATGATCCATCTGGCTTTTGAGGAACGTTTAGTCATCGTTGTTTATCTCTCAATAAAAACTCAGAGCATTTAAATATCATCTTAATAAGACTTAATAAATATTATTAGCAGATATAGAATGACTACTATTTCTATGGATTTTATGTAAGTAGTCTATTATACTGCTATAAAGTCTAATTTATTTACATTACAGTCTATCTACATTTCATCTTTTTTTATATGAAGGGTTCAGATGCAAAAGCCTCTAAATGCCATTTGAAATTTTCTTCTTTAATGATGATTTTTATCAAACTTGTATATATAAGTTCAGTAATTTCACTTAAATAACAATTAATAGGTAATTATCATTGCCATTTAAGTGAAATTACTGAACTTAAATATACAAGTTTGATAAAAATCATCATTAAAGAAGAAAATTTCAAATGGCATTTAGAGGCTTTTGCATCTGAACTCTTCATATATTGATTTTTCTAGCTTTGATTTGTCAGGCTTTACTAGGATTAATTATGCATTTCAAGTATAGGCCAAATATATTATCTGTATATCTGTAAGTATATGACAAGTTATATACCAATTACACTCACCTAAAGGATTATTAGGAACACCTCACTAATACTGTGTTTGACCCCCTTTCGCCTTCAGAACTGCCTTAATTCTACGTGGCATTGATTCAACAAGGTGCTGAAAGCATTCTTTAGAAATGTTGGCCCATATTGATAGGATAGCATCTTGCTGTTGATGGAGATTTGTGCACGAAGCTCCCGTTCCACCACATCCCAAAGATGCTCTATTGGGTTGAGATCTGGTGACTGTGGGGGCCATTTTAGTTCAGTCAACTCATTGTCATGTTCAACAAACCAATTTGAAATGATTGGAGCTTTGAGACATGGTGCATTATCCTGCTGGAAGTAGCCATCAGAGGATGGGGACATGGTGGTCATAAAGGGATGGACATGGTCAGAAACAATGTTCAGGTAGGAAGTGGCATTTAAACGATGCCCAATTGGCACTAAGGGGCCTAAAGTGTGCCAAGAAAACATCCCCCATTACACCATTACACCACCACCACCAGCCTGCACAGTGGTAACAAGGCATGATGGATCCATGTTCTCATTCTGTTTACGCCAAATTCTGACTCTACCATCTGAATGTCTCAACAGAAATCGAGACTCATCAGACCAGACTTTAACTGTCCAATTTTGGTGACTCTTGCAAATTGTCGCCTCTTTTTCCTATTAGTAGTGGAGATGAGTGGTACCCGGTGGGGTCTTCTGCTGTTGTAGCCCATCCGCCTCAAGGTTGTGTGTGTTGTGGCTTCACAAATGCTTTGCTGCATACCTCGGTTGTAACGAGTGCTTATTTCAGTCAAAGTTGCTCTTCTATCAGCTTGAATCAGTCGGCCCATTCTCCTCTGACCTCTCGCATCAACAAGGCATTTTGGCCCACAGGACTGCCGCATACTGGATGTTTTTCCCTTTTCACACCATTCTTTGTAAACCCTAGAAATGGTTGTGTGTGAAAATCCCAGTAACTGAGCAGATTGTGAAACACTCAGACCGGCCCGTCTGGCACCAACAACCATGCCACGCTCAAAATTACTTAAATCTCCTTTCTTTCCCATTCTGACATTCAGTTTGGAGTTCAGGAGATTGTCTTGACCAGGACCACACCCCTAAATGCATTGAAGCAACTGCCATGTGATTGGTTGATTAGATAATTGCATTAATGAGAAATTGAACAGGTGTTCCTAATAATCCTTTAGGTGAGTGTATATTTGTCTTTCTAATAAGTATATCTCTGATATGTACATAAACCTAGAATGAAAGTGTACTCTCTCATTTTTGATTTAAAAGAAGTAAAGGTCTTTTGGTAAATGCGGCGTACATCTGTAATTTTAAAGCACCCTTATTGTGTATTTGAACTCTATAGCTACAGATCTGATCAACAATCTTCTCCAAGTGAAGATGAGGAAGCGTTACAGTGTGGATAAGACTCTCAGTCATCCATGGCTACAGGTAAGCAGCCTAGAGACCTGTAAATCCCTTCTGAATGTTTGTGGTTTTATACCTCAACCTGTCCATGTGTGCGCTGTCCCAGGACTACCAGACGTGGCTTGATCTGCGAGAGTTTGAGACGCGCAGAGGGGAACGCTACATCACCCACGAGAGCGATGACGCCCGCTGGGAAAAGTACGCTTTCGAGCACAGTCTGATGTACCCTAAGCACTTCATCATGGCTCCAAACCTGGACGATATGGACGAGGACCCCTAGTGGCCACGTGAGCTGAACTGAGAACGGGGTCGTTTGAAGACCGCAACCTGTTAATGGTGTGTCGCTGTGGAGACTGAAACACATCGGCAATCTGAAGCGGACGATGAGGAAACGGCGAGGTTGAGCGCTCGCGAGATGTCCGCGAGAGTCGTGGAAACTGTGGATTCAGAGCGTGGAAGTGCGTTCAGATGTCCTAAAGTGCTTGTTTCTTATCGAGGTGTGTGTTCACTATGTCAGAAACTCACGTTACAATCACACACAGGATAGTAACAGAGAGAGCGATGTGGACGTTCACAGCCTTTCGTTTTGAACGCATCAAACTGGAACATGCTTTTTTTTTATTCGTGGTCTATTATTTTCTAATTCATTTTACAACATAGGTTTTACAGCAGATTGAATGATTTCAAAAGGGTCATTTTTTTTTTTGCACTAAACTATGCAACTAAATGAATCATGTGAGCACAGCATTCTTCAAGAGCCCAGAAGATCGACGGATAAAAGGAGGACTCCACTTAAGCTACAGTATGTTTAAACTCTGAAAACATGTCTGAATCGAATCTGTCAGATGGAATGGGAGATGTTATCTTCCCGGGACCAAAGACGTTTGTGTCTGTCGTGACTCTTGTTCTTACATCGGTTTAGAGCTGTTGTCCTCAGCAGCTTTCTTTACAGAGCCATTGTTTTTATTTATTCCTCATACCGCAGTCTTAAAGTCTAATAACAGCTGAGCAGTGCTGAAAGATGTGTTGGTCAAACGCCTACTGTGAGAAAGCTGGATGACCGATCAGCAAAGCTCTTTTTAATACAGAAAGAATTACATATTGAAAATAACTGCTAACAACTTTTATCAGAGAAAGAAGATGAACAGTGTTATCTTTTTTTCTAATCTTTTTTTTTTTGTGTGTGTGTGTGGTTGTCGTTCTTTCTTTTTTCTTCTTTTTTTTTTTTTTTTTTTTTTTTTTTTTTGAAAGAACCTTTGTTGAACCTTTCTTACTATGAATCCCAGAACTGGAAAATCTGAAAAATATTTTTGGACTTTTTGTTGTAAATACTACCTACAACATTAAAATAAAGCTGGATTAATTGGGTTTCTGAAAGTAGGAAGCACATTGTACCCACATCTCTCTCTCTACACACACACACACACCCTAGCAAGAATTAATGAATATCAGGGTAAAAGAATCTTTCTGGTAACACTTTACTTGAAGGGGTGTGCATAAGACTAACATGACACCTTCATAACAATGACATGACATATGTTATGAATATGAAGTAGGTCTAATATGAAGTGTCTTTGGCTCAGTTATTACATTTTTAATGCAAATATGACATTGTTTGAGATGTCTTTGTCATGACAACTTGACATTACTAAGACATCACAACCTGTCATAAACATGACATAGCAGATTAATGATCAAACTTAAGAAACCACCTAGCTTTATTTGTTAACATTACATTAAACTGTCAGGTGGTTGGTTTTGACATTGACTGTCAAGAAGCCATTATAACATTTAATGGCAATTTCAATTAGTACCGCTGTAGTCAATATTCATGACACAGTTATAATGGCCTCATGACAGCCAATGTCAAAGCCAACCTCATGACAGTTTAATGTAATGTTAACCCATAAAGCTAAGTGGTTTCTTAAGTTTGATAATGAATCTACTATGTCATGTTTATGACATATTTTTGACACTTTATGGTGTATTGGTTGAAACAATTTCATATTTGCATGACGGTTGTCATAAATTTGCATAAAACCTCCTGTGTGTCATGATTATGAAGGTGTCATGTCAGCCTTATGTACACCCCCTCAGGTAAAGTGTTACCCAGTTTGGTTTCACCGTCCATGAAATGAAATCTGGAAGAAAATAATTGAGGATTTCTCTATATCATGACATCTCTATGTTGCCGCTGGATTGGCAAGTGTCAGTGTTCTGTATATTTTAGTACATCCTGATTCAATAAAACGATATATACACTCCATGAGTTTGGGGTGATTTTTCAGGTTTAAGGTTTTGTATTTGCCCCTTGTTAAGGAGAGATTGATTTTACAAGTAGTCTCGGCAGGTCATAAATTGGTTGGAAAATACTGTGAACGAATATTTAAGGTCTAAGGACCAGAATATCATAAGCTGTCAAGTCATCTTTATTTATTCAGCACTCCTTACAATACAGATTGTTATGGAAATTTGAATCATTAGTGAAGATTTCTAGGTAGTCTGAGCCATGTGTTTCCATTGAACCTATTCCATGAGTAAAATATAGATGTCTACGTGGTTGTCGGTGCCATATCAGGAACATATGGGACTGGACCTCTGACATTAGGGATGGTAAGTTTTGGCCAGTTTATTTCAATTCCAGTTTGTGTCCTTATGTAGAGACTAAAACAGCAGTAAGCGCTTTATCTAGGTGGGTGAAACGTACAGCGGGGGAAGAGGAACCTTGAAAAGACTATAAGAGCTGTCTCGTGTCTCCCTGAAGGCGTCTCACTCACGCCACAGTGTAATTGCTGTGCTGGCGACTGGGTCTATTCTTGCAAGAATAAAATACTTCTCTTTTTATTAACTTGACTCTGAGTGTCTCTTACGCAGTGATGATGTTTGAAAGGATTTTTGCCACAACAATTCAAGCAACCCCAGATCCACTTGTCCTGCTCAACCCGGGCACCCGGATCCTCTGTTTTAAGTCTATAAACCCACACCCCAGCCGGGACCAGACCCACCCAGTATGGTTCAGCCAACCTTGTATACCCGAAACAAGATACTTTTCCCCAAAAGAAAATATTTTAGCCAGAGATATGTTGGTTGCCACGGGTTCACTCTCTTTTGATTCCAGTTGAGCTTCTCCTGGACCCGATAGCGGTCAACCCTTCTCTCTTAAAGGGTTAGTTCACCCAAAAATGAAAATTCTGTCAGTATTTACTCACCCCCATGTTGTTCCAAACCCGTAAGACCTTCGTTCATCTTCGGAACACAAATTAAGATATTTAAGATATTAAGATCGCTCCTGCATACAGTCCATAGGCTTCTTGAGGGACTGGCTCTTGCTGTCCCCGAAAAGTCATTAAAGACATCGTTAAAATAGTCCAAGTGACTACAGGGGCTCAATCTTAAGTTTATCAAACGACGAGAACACTTTTGTGCGCAAAAAAACAACAAAAATAACGACTTTATTTCAACTATTCACTTCCTTCTCCATGAGCCTGTAAGTCAGTTAACGTAGTGTGATTGCGTAGAGCTACGTCACACGTAGGCTCACTATTGGCCGACGCTGGTCATGTGTGTGTGATGCGTGTGACGTACAATAACAGAAGCTTACGCTATTAAACTAGTAACCTGACTCGCGCAGAGGGAGAAATAAACGAATAGTTGAAATAAAGTCGTTATTTTTGTTGTTTTTTTGCGCACAAAAGTGTTCTCGTCGTTTGATAAACTTAAGATTGAGCCCCTGTAGTCACTTGGACTATTTTAACGATGTCTTTAATGACTTTTCGAGGACAGCAAGAGCCAGTCCCTCAAGAAGCCTATGGACTGTATGCAGGAGCGATCTTAATATCTTAAATATCTTCATTTGTGTTCCGAAGATGAACGAAGGTCTTACGGGTTTGGAACAACATGGGGGTGAGTAAATACTGACAGAATTTTCATTTTTGGGTGAACTAACCCTTTAAGCTTACGAGGTAGAGCTGGAACTGCTCAGTCCAGGTGGCCAAACACCGTCCGCTCTCGCATCCAGAAGGCACTTCCTAGGAATCCCACTTTTTCTGACACCAAATTTGACACTCAGAGTCAAATTTAATCTGGATCAAATTAAATGTAATCGAATTTAGTCAAATTAAGCTGGCACTGAGAAAATGGCTCAGATGTCAATCTTAGTATGACAATATTTTATGGTTTTGTCTTGATGGTTCTATTTAATGAATGTGTATGTGTGTATATGTAGGTGTGTATGTACATGTGTTTATGTATGTATGTATATTCCATTGTGGTCCCCGGGACCTAGGGCTTTATTGTGTTATCCTAACTTTGTTTTGTTTCTTTTAATTTATGGTGCAAATATGTATCATATTTTAAACAAAAGGGTCATATAAAATCAATCAATCCATTAATAAAAAGAGCAGTATTTTATTCTTGCAAGAATAGGCCCAGTCGCCAGCACAGCAATTACGCGGGACGTGAGTCTTTTCAAGGTTCCTCTTCCCCCGCTGTACCTTTCACCCACCTAGATAAGGCCCTTACTGCTGTTTTAGTCTGTTTCTAAAAACCCTGTTTTTGACGTCACAAACTACCTTGTAACCAATCAGAACAACATGTGATCGTGAACCAGTGGATCTCTGAGCTGGAATGAGTGAGTGGAGGCGGAGCTTATTTGCATATTCATGGACTGGATATCCTAAATGAGGCAAGAGTGTAGAGTTAAATTCAAGCTGTTTTAAGGCATTTAAGAAAACTTGAAATATTCCATGTGACTACAGTGGCTCAATTATAAGTTTATCAAGCGACGAGAAGAGTTCAAGAGATTTCCATGACGCATACGTGAGAATGGCTTAAGAAGTAGTAGAAAAATAACCCAATTCTCGCGCATGCGTCGTGGAAATCTCTTGAACTCTCGTCTCAGGCCTACAAGGAAGAAAAGGAATAGTCGAATAAAGTTTTTTATTTCCGCACAAAAAGTATTCTCATCGCTTGATAAACTTATAGTTGAGCCCCTGTGGTCACATGGAACATTTAAACATTTTCTTTAATGAATTTCTGGGCCGTCAAGTTTCAATCCTTTAGGAGCCTATGGAGGAGTGATCCACCTCTCAAATTGAATCAAAAATATCTTCATTTGTGTCCTGAAGATGAACGAAGGTCTTACGGGGTTGTTACAGCATGGGGGTGAGTAATTAATGATTATTTTAATTTCTTCCATGTAAAGCACTTAGAATTGCCACTGTGTATGAAATGTGCTATATAAATAAACTTGCCTTGCCTAATGACTTAATTTTCATTTTTGGGTGAACTATCCCTTTAAGGGATACAATTATTGACTACTTTATTACTTCATTGAACAAGCTGCAAGCATGAAACCCTTTCCAATAAAGAAACACCAACTTTGTCAATTCAATGTGTGATTTTTTTTTTTCTTTTTCTCCAAACCAATATGGCCGACGGCCAGTCAGAAATGCCAAGTTGCTGTGGAATATCCATCCATTCCTTCTAGGGGACTCTTGAAGGTAAAAAAAAAAAAATGTTGCATCAACAGTCACATCAACGTTAAATTTTCCAATTGTTGATTTTGTATTGAGAGGAAATTCTGATGAATCATCTGTCCACTTAACACAGTCTCATCCCAAAAAGTCATATAACTGACGTCTTGGGACGTTTTTTGACCGTACGTCAATACCCGCCTTTTTAGGGCCCCCTTAAACGTTACCTTTAACGTCAGTTAGGGTTTAGGGTTAGGTTTAGGTCTGGGGTACACTGTTAGAAACTTCTTGTAATTTTACAGGAAATTCCTGGCTAATAGTTGCCGTAAATTTACTGTAAACAGTATACAGGACTGCTATTGTAAAATAACTACAACAAGATACTGTAATTTTACAGGATAGAATACTGTAAATTTTACAGCAAAATTGTATATTTACGGCAACTCAGTAGCCAGGAATTTCCTGTAATTTTAGGTATTTTCTGTAATTTCATAGGACAGCATATTGTAAATATTACAATTAAATATTGTAACTTGGATAAATGTCCTCTTTCAGACTTCTGCAAAGAAAAACAAAACACTTTTTTTTTTAAATATATATTTTTATTTTCTCTTAAAACTAATGAGAAAACGAGTCCACAATGCACATTTTGGACGTTTTTTTCTCTGCCTGCCCATCTGAGGATGCTGCAAAAGGCTCTGAAAACAGGGAGGGACACA